TTGTCAAGGAAATTTCTCTTCTTCTTTCCCCAGTCGGCCGGTGTTCCTTGGCTTTTTCGTGCTTGTTGCGATTTGATTTAGTACTAAAACTTTTGTTACAATGCTCACTGCGGCAAGGAAAAACCATTTTCGGCTAATTTTAATGTTCAGCAAAGCATCTGAGAAGATTCTACTAACGCATGGCGAGCACGTGTCAATTTTCGATTAAAAACCTGATCTTCTTCATTCTGGTTTTGCAATGCAATGGCTTCTTGTAGATTTTGAAGTCGGAATAAGTCTTCCAAAGGTGCTTTTAGTGACATTTTTAAAATCTTTAATTAAATCATGGGGAATATATACCAATAGCAACATTCACAAATATTCAGATATCAATAAATATTTCGCCTCATTCTTAGACACCTAAACATCACTCCAAATTATGAATGAAAAACAGTTGGATTATTTCCTCCATGGGGGCTCATTAAGTCGAACGAATAAACATGTATTTCGATTCACATCTGTTTAGGAATGAGCGCTACTGGAAGAGCTGTTCCGCTTAATTTTTTAAAAGATTTCGCTTTTCAAATGGAATGATTCTTCCTGAAATGCTCCTATTGACTTTCTACACTTTTTATTAGAAAAAGGGCATAATTAAATCATAAATATCAAGTTCCAGGTAAAACTTACTCCTGGGTGTCTTTTTATGGGCCTAAATTGATTTATAATGAGATTAAACAGATTTCAAATTTTGATAAATATCGGCAGGATTTTTTCATGATGATCGGTTCCTTTTTTCAAACTTTTGGGAAAATTTAAGTACTTTGGAATATTGGCAGCAAAATCCATACTCTGATAATAAAAAAATGTTCTTTGTTGAAAGTATTACTCCACTGAACAAATGGAAGATCTTCTGCTTGAAATGGAATATTTCTTGCTAAGTGCTCCAATCGAATATTCTTATATTCAAACAATAAATATTGAGCTTAGTTTACCAGTCTGTAAATTATTAGGAAAGTATGCTCGCTTGAAAGCTCATAATAAGTCATGGAATATTTCTTCCAATTGGTTGTTGGAATATTTTCATCTTGAAAAGCTCCCAACATTTTACGAGTTAACCGAGAATCGATCGATGATGAGACCAAAACATATGGATTATTTCTTTATCTTTGGACTGTAGACAAAATTTACTGGATTTACATAAAAATTATTCCTAAATTTATGGCAGCCAATTAAAAGCTGATAGTGTCAAACAAGCAATTTGGCACAGTCTAAAAAGCGTCCACGTTACTAAATTCCGGTTACCTTTAAAGTTCAATAACACATCTTGGTAAAACATTTTCGCACTCAACATTCTTCCCATTTTTTCTTAAACCTTTACTTTTCCTAGTAAACCTTTACTTAATCCTTTACTTTTGTTTCATCTGATTAGGAACCTGCAGTTTGGAACCAAGTCCAATTAACAGTGATTTTCCTAATGCTCAGTCAAATTCTTTGGCGGTATCTCGCTAAATTTCCATTAAATTTGTCAATTTTCTCGCATGTAGATATGGTAGATATGATAAAAGTCTTGACAGGTAGAAATGGTATCTGAAAATCGGTTTTGGGTTGTCGAAATTGTAAAGAGCTATAAATGTAATATAAGGCCTAAGAGCATGCAACCCTGAGGGATTTTAGAGCTGTCGACACTGGCAGTTGGAAAACAATCACCTAAAAATAGACTAGTCACGGTTCTCTTACACAAAGCTATAGAGATTGATGCCATTCCGGCCATCTTGAAGTTCGTTGCAGTTAAAGAGACAGCAGCACAATTATAACCTTTAAAAAGCTGAATGCATTCAATTTATTACTTACAAAGATCGTTTGCCTGACAACTGACAAAACCACCTCTATGCATCTAAGTGATTGCTTCTCCTTCTTCTGGTGCAAAATGCTTGGGTATATTAAAATTGCTTGATTTTCGTGATGGAAAACAGGCCTAAATCCTGCGTTACGCCAGCAAACAGCTCTTCTGACAAGACAAGAGGCTACCTACAGAAGGTTTCCATAGAGGTTAAAGAATCAAGCCAATGAATCTGTAATTCGGATAGAAAACAAAGTGTGCATAAAAGTATGTGCTAGTCCCTGAACGTGAAAACCGTGAAATCGTGAAAGTGAAATCGTAGGCGTTAAGGCGTCCTGAATGAGATCGAAAAAGGCTGACCCGGAAAAATATCGTCCTGACGCAAGAAGATCTAATTGACAGATACAAATACTTTTGCTTTTGACAGGCATTTGATACAATGCACAAGGATCCATGAAAGACAGCAATTCTTGTTTGCTAGCGATTCTAAATTCATTTTGTATGTGTTCCTTGTAACTTTACTGCTCACAATATTCATGTCAATTATTTTGTTATCACTTCTAACTCTGCTTATAACTTTACAGGCGCTGGCTTGCAAATTTTAGAAAGAAGAGAATATTAACAAAATTTGAATAATGATTGTTTGTACAAAAAATTGTTAGTCGTGCACGTGTGTGAAATGCTTAATGTAAAAGGCTGAAATCTCTTAATTGTATAAATATCACATTTAACACAAATGTAACAGAGGTGCTTCAGGAATCTCTGCGTTATAAGATCCAAATTCTATTCCATTTGGGTCTAAGGCTTCGGTACACATGGTGAGAAGGTCTTACCATACTTGGCATTTCCGGCATCTCTTTGCATTACGCCCTCTCATGGTCAGTATTGATTAGAGTTGATGCACGAGGCATGGAGAGAGGTTCTCTCTCTTGAGTATAAATAATTACGTATAATAATCATATATATATATATATCTTCTTGTTAGAAAACATGTGTCTCTCTGTGGTACACACCTATGTCCCGCCCAAGTCACAACCAATTCAAAAGCTCTAAAAAATATATCTTTGTGACGTCATCATTCAAGAACTCTATTAGAGACATATCAACTTGACAAAATTAATGAGCATCTGAGTAGTTTAGATTCCGAACGTTGTTTACCAGAGCCTCAAGAAACAAAGGGTAAGGTATTGTAGACCGAAGCAATGACAAAGAATGAATGGATGCGGAAGTGACTGTGACTAGATTTTAACTATTTCTGAGACTGAATCTGGCACCCAGGGTAGCGTTATACTAATAAAGTTTTTTCACGTTGTCCAGTGTAACAGATTCTGAAGTTTTGAGCTTGGTGTCTTATACTAGAAGTCCAAACACATTGTACAGTTTGATGGCCTTGCACAACCTACATATTGAAGCAGGGAGATATCGAAAATATCCAAAAGCCAAAGAAGGTAGAATATGTGGCTTTTGTAAATCGAACTCCAAAGTTCATGTCGAAGATGGTTTCCATTTCTTGATGATATGGAACTTAAAAGCGGGAGAAAAGAGCGCATTGCTGCATTTTGTTGAAGACAATTTTCCCAACTGAAAGCATCCCAAAAGTAATGTAAATAAAAAAACATTCTCTCGAAATCTAGCTGATTGGATGTCACTGATAAAAATTGCTCTGGGTTAGCATATTTCCGTCATCAAGATTTGACCTTAGCGCATTTGGTTCCAGTACACGGGATCTGGATCGAGCGTCTTTCTGTGACATAATACTTAAGACGTTTCCTTGGCAGGCGCGTACGATTTTGTTCATCTTAACTGGTATTTATTACAGAAAATATGTTATAAGCGTAAAAGGGAAAGAGCTGTTTCTTTATTAATGCAAATGTTAGCGTTTAAAATCTCTTATCAATTCTGCTTTTTATTGTTACCACACAACGTGTTATCCTATGTACTTAGAGGACAGTTATATATTTCTTTAATATCACCAGTTCGATATTATCTACTTATATTTATTCTGTAGCTGTCTTATGTTAATAAAATTGAAAGAGGAAACTAAGAAAAATCTCGGCCTGTTTACTAATTGTAAAAGAATAGAAATTGTGCTCTATTATTGCAATTTTGACGCTTGCATCAGCCCACTAACAATTTTTGAAAATCAGGGTAGACCATTTTTATGATCCATCCTTTTGGTGGGTAATGAATAGAATTGTAGAGCAATAAAGAGTCTTTGTAGCTTTTGTAATACCAGCGACCTTCACATTTTTGTAAGGTTTTTGAATAATGCTTCTTAATTTTAGTTCAGCTACCAGTATGTGCTTTGGAAAATGTTTGTATAATGTCAGGCATAAACATTCAAAAAACTGGCCTAAATAACAGGGATGATTCTGAAAAGGGGGTAGCTCTCAAATGCAAAAAGGGTAAGCGACGTGAAGCAAGGTTCGAGTCATAAGCCAACTAGAATGTGCTTTGTCTTTACCGATTTTGTTGTAGACAGACAAGTGTAAAAGTCAAAAGAGAACAAAATTAGAGAGCAGTAGACTTTTAGATAAAATTGATTTTGTAAAACCAGTGGCACAATAGGCCAAGAGAGGGCTATTTGGAATAGATATATGTAATTATAGCGCAGACCTTGTGACCAGATGTGGCCTGCGGACCTCGAAGTTGAAAACTCATTTTCGGAAAAAAATTTCACTTTACATCTGCTTGTCTTGTGTTTATCTCTGTTAACTATGAATTTTCTTATGTTGAATAATAATTTATCAATTTTTCTTTAAAGAAAAGCAGGTACAAAATCTTTATTAGATCTTCATGGTTGATAAAATACACTCTTCTTGTCGAGCAACTTCAAAATGTACTGGATATACTAAAAGCGGCATCAGGGGTACCGGGATCAAGGTTCTTTTCTACCTGTAGAATCTGGCAGTTGTGCTCGGAAGGGATTTCTCCACGACTTACGATCTTAAGCTGGGAATGTACCAAATTTTCTGTAAAATTTTACAACCTTTAATATGGAGTTTATTGCTGAATACCAACTTCAAAGCCTTTGCTGGGTCATTTCAAACTGGAACTCATCGAACTTGATTAATTTAATCTCTATATCAGCGAAAATATTTGATAACGCTCTTGTGAACTTGCTTTTTCAAAAGTGTAAAAAAGGACGCTGTCGATCTTTAATGAAGAGAAAATGCTATAATTCTAACCTTGTTTTTCTTTGAAAGTAATAAATATTTGTTTAAATAATAATAAAGTACATTTATTTGACAAAACAAGTAATTTGCTAATATCTAGTTATTATATTTGCTGAACAAATCCCAAGCTATCTGCATGCTGTCTATTTGCCAGCATTTTCAAAACACATTGTTTGAAGTGACCATATTCTGAATTTCTAATCTACTTTTCTGCATGACAACAGCAGCAAGAAACATTTCTTTCATCAAAGTTGCTCCTACTGTTTTCATGACATCTTCCTCGAGTACTTGAGTTCCTGAGTTCCCTGCAAGCTTTTCCTTTGAAATGGAAAGTTATTTTGTGAAAAAATATGTTAGATCCAAGTTTTGAGTGGATGCCTAAGGGCTGGTATTTGCTTAAAGAATAGCATATACCAGGTTGAAGGACCCGTGAATCAATAAACTTATACATTGAAAGGCAAGATCATTTTTGGATTTCCTATAAAATTTTTCACGTAGAAGGCTTGATTTAGGAGGGCGCATTTCAGAAAAGACAAACACTTCTTTAATACACTACAAGGAGCCCTGTTTGAGTTGTGAAACATCATGGCGTTAAGTAATTAGCCAACTAATAAACGATGTATTTTTAGGGTATTTAAGGTTGCCAGATAAATTAACTGAGGGTAGTTAAACTCCAGGTATTATGGTGCATGATAGGCAAAGGTTTAATTGAAAAGTATATATCAATCAATTCTAAATACTGATATATATTGGTAACCTCTAAACTTGCAAGTCATCCTACGCAAAAGACATCACAAATAGATGCTGAAAGGCGTAAACTATGACGAGAGAGGGAACTTACCAAATATTTCCTGGCTTTCACTTTTAGTGCTTCCATAGAGGCAGATGAATGCTGACTTATACTGTCTCTTGGAATCTAATTGAACAAAACAAATAATCTAATTTAAAAAAAATTACTTTTATGTAAGGTTCCCTCCATCCCCAGCGTTTTTTTAGGGACGATTCAATTACAAAAAGTATATAAAAAATTATCATTAAAAAGGACCAGCAAGTACGGTCTTTTTTCGTATTTTCAAAAAAGGGAAAAAATATTTCTTCGCTTTTCATCGAATAATAACGAAAGAGAGATTTGTCTCCAATTTTGAGATTTGTCTCCAATTTTGAGATTTGTCTCCAATTTTGAGATTTGTCCCATAGTGAATTGCTGAATTCATGCAATTTTTTGGTTGCATAAATTAGGATAATTTAGGATAGTTATTGTGCACCATGTTATAAATGTGTCACGATGAAACGAAAGCCAGCATTTTACTTGTCATTTATTCTCTGGAAAATTATATTTATGTAAAGAATCTGAGGACGAATGGTGTTGATGACTTGTGTATTTCAAAAAAATGATGAAGCTTAAAAGAAACTTCGATGCTGTTAACTTGTTCATAAAATAGGCCACTATAACATATTTGGTCACTATTTCGTAAACTTAAATACTCAATCTGATCTTTTTTATCAAACGAACAAAGTATTATCAAAGCTACGCTAATCAAGTCTCTGAATCATTGCAATAGGACGAAAGATGTGATGCGGTGTTGTGACATGATTTTGCCAATAAGGCAGGCACCGCGGAGCGTTGGGAAAAATGGAGGGGGGTCTAGAAAAAGTGGGGGGGGGGCTAAAATCTTATAAAAAGAAGCTTTACTCGTAGTTTAGTACTAAATATTGGGCATTTTTTGCAAAATGTGGGGGGCTATAGCCCCTCAGCCTCCCCCTGCTCTGCGTACAAGAGACACGTTTTGATGAAATGAAGGCAAAGCTTGGTATATAATGTTCCTGATGCTAAAATTTCACAACAAACGCATGATAAACATTGTACATGGCTATTTTCTTGCATCAATTAGATATCTTTACATCAAAAGGGTACAGGTTACCTGCATTTCTGTCACTCCGATAAGTGTTAGTAGCTCTAGTTGAACGCTTTCCACACAGTTCGTTATTTCGGTTTCTTGCCTCTTGATCTCAAAGGCATAGATAAAACCCAGCGGCTTAGCAAACCTCTTGGCTACCTTATGAATACGTATCAAATGCTGCTGTACCTGAAAATAAACACGTGGATATTGAAAGATTGATTCATCGTTGCTGCAGTTGTAGCTCTCTCATGAACAAGAAATCTAATTTCCTAACAGTAGTAATGAAGTATTATACTTTTCTAGTTATGATTGCATAGTTTGGTATCGAAAAATCTCTAAGTTCAGTTCACCGGTCTTGCAAAGGACTAAAGGGAAATTTTTTTATCAAGAATTATGGCACGTACCTTCCACGAGAACTAGTTAGTTTTGATTATAAATGACTTAGATTGTTATGTTCAGTGCCGTAGGAACGAAGTTCATATTGGGGGGAGGGGGGGCTGCCCATTGTTTTCCTTCTCATTCAGTGCACTTTCATCAAGGAAACAGACTACATTTTGGCTGGAGCCCCCCCCTCAGCCCCCCGGTTCCGACGGGCCTGGTGTTTCAATGCTATTCTTTTGTAGTCTAAAACTGTAGTCTTTCAATTAGATTGCCACCTTTTCAAATGCTATTCTTTCTCCGGCATTCTCATAGCACGTTTATAGTGAAAGATTTTCTTTAAGAACTTAGAATTATAAAGGAATTCTAAATCTCTAGCTTAGCCATTTTGTTACTTTCCAGTGTATAGTTAAAGGAAGCAGGGATGAATTCTGAATTCTTAAGAATTTCCCCATCAGGCACCGTGGAGCGTTGAGAAAAGTGGGGGTCTAAAAAAGTGGGGGGGGGGCCAAAACCGTATAAAAAGAGGCTTTTCTGGTAGTTTGATACTTAATATTTGGCATTTTTTGCAAAAAGTGGGGGGGCTGAAGCCCTCCCCAGCCCCCCTGCTCCGCGGTGCCTGCCTATCCATTTTACTTATTAAAGGGCCCCCTCTTATGATCAGGTATGCAGGGTAAGAATAAATAATAAATTTGCACAAATACATCAAAGTACTGAGCTTCAGTTTCAATATTTTGTTTTTTTACCAGCTACAATCGAGCATTTGTAGTCTAGATTACTCTCATCACTTTTGCCATCACCCACAAATTATTTGTTTTCTAAAGATAGTACCTATCTTTCTCAGCATATAAGCTAAGCTTCTATAACTAGCCACAGGAGGGTACTGGACGGTGTTTCTTCTGTAATGTCCAGACTAGACAATCGTTGGGGCTTACTGATTTGGGGAAAAGCATTTCCAAACGCACAAGATCTTCCACCCAAAATCATAGAAATCTTTATAAATTACTATTATAAACTATTAACTATATAAACTATTATTATAAACTATTAATTTTACTGCATTGTTTGTCGTCAATATGAGTTTTAGCAAAAACTTTTGAGTTTTATAAAAAAAGAGTTGTACTTACTGTAAGTTTTTCACAGTTTGAGCAGTTAGGAACTAATCCAAAACTCAATGAGGCATTTTGTCTTTGAGGATATCTGCCAGCATCCTACAAAAAACCATACATCTGATTGGCAAAAAACATAGTTACATATAATCTCACTTCTTTCTATTTCAACTTACTGTCTATACAACGCCTGAGAAAGTCTAGTACACCCTGGTTCTTAAGGGCATCCAAGGTCTCAAGGTCACATTTTTCCGTCAGAATTAATTTAACGAGATAAATTTAAACTGCACAGAAAGAGAGACTGATATCAGTTGAAATGAATAACAAGCCCTCCACTTGCTTCAGCGATTTTAAGCATTGTTCGTGTGTGAACACTTATTACGCTCTCTGTATGTCGCTCCAAGTGGCTAATTTAGTCGGTTTGAATTCTATATTTTACAAAACGACGTGCTGAAACAAATTCAGACTGAAAAAAATACCGAAAACACGATTTCATATTGAAAATTTCAGGACCTAGGAAAAAAATAGGCAAAAATGAAGCACACACGTTACAAATACGATGTACTCTGATGCTGGCGGGTTACCTTGAACTTCTTTTTACAGAGTTCCGTTTCTGTTTTGAACGTGTGCAGCTTCAACAACGTGTAACTCAGAGCTTTAGACTGTTGTCCATCCGACCCTTGTACTGTAGCCATTGCAATCACGAGTGACAGTGAAATGAAGCTCAAGTAACCTAGAAGACACGGAGATGCAGAGCTGATTCTATGACATGCGAATGAAATGAAAATTTCTGGGTACAGGCATGCACGCAAAAGACTTTTTGTATGCAACATTAGGGGAGTCTGAGGATTGTACTAATGTATAGCTGTAATTCAAACGAGAGACATGTTAATAGCTGAAGAACTGATACATTTTATCAAGTAAAGATCGGTGAATACCTTTTATAGCTAACTGCTTACATTTTGCTTTTAATCGATAAAAAGAGGAGTTGTCAGTATGAAAACTGACTTGGTTAAAGGTATTTCCTATATTTGAACCCATCATTAGGATCGTCCCTATACACAGTAATTTGTTTAATCAAAACCTTTGAAATTTGAATTCCTGTTAAAGGTACATAAGCCATTTGTTCATACCTTGCAAATAAACTTGTATAATCTAAACGAGAAAAGATCTCCAAAGCTTCTCCAATAAAAATTTGTTGTTGATCAGAAATGAAGCTGCAGACTTACCCATTGTTGGTCAGGTTTGATGAGTTGAGACTTCTCTGTTGAGCCTGTGTTCCCTCGATGATTTTGACTTTTTGTTCAGGTATAACCTCTTATATAATGAAGGACAAGACGTACTTTGACCCACTGGGAAATAAATCCCTTCATGTCACAGAAATAGATGGCTCAAGAAGACATGCCAGTTTCGTTTTCCTTATCAGAAAATCCACCGAAATCAGTTCGCAGCTTGCAAGAATAGTCACAAAGGCAGAGACCGGCATGTGTTTGAATTCTTAGAAATTTGTCAAAGTCCCTGGCACCTTTGATACGGGAAATACAAAGATCAACCAGTGCTCTTTCATTGTCTGTCTATTTGCTCTTTCCTTCATGTTCGGTTTTAAAACGGCACTGCAACACAGTCATGTCAAATTTTGATCTTAAGAAACACCAGTAGCAGAAACATTCCACATATTGTTGCTTTGCCAGCGGGCAAACTTGTTAAGTTAAACAAGTCTGTAATTTGCTGTCGCAAGAAAGGCATGACAATACGACATGACATGACCAGGCATGAAACGTTGCAGAAACCAGAAACGTCACCAGAATCTTCCATAATGGTGTTTTGACCGAGAGCCTTTGCAACATAAGCTAAGTGGATGGCATTTGCTTGAAAGGCTTAGAATGACCAAGCTGAAGACTTTAAATACAAAGATATGTCTTCAAAGGAAGACATGTACAGGTACCATGGGGGTTTGGGGCCCACCTTTGATTCAAGGGTAAAGAACTCAGCATTTAAGGTAACAAAGATAAGGGTAAGATTTTGCAGAAACGCTCAAAATTGGAAATTTTTGTAGCAGATACATTAAGTGTAGATGTAGCAAGCACACTTTCAAAGTTATTTTGTTTCTTTTGTAAAAATGATGCAAAAGTTCTAAACCAGGGAACTGTCAAATATTCCATGAAAACAAATGCAGGAAATGACGGACACCGGAAATCACTTCTCGTTTCTTGCTTGTGCGTGACGTGTGCCAGGTTTGTACCTTGGAACATAATAAGACACACAATGTCATTTCTTAAGGCTGTCGCATGACGAGTAGTAGCTCCAGTCACTTTTGCTAAATAAAGATTCGTGTGTTGTCACGCACGACTTCAACCCCAGCGCTAACAGGGAGTGGGGGTTCAGATTCATTGTCCTTTGTAAACTGATATACATATTTGAGCTTTCACTTTCTGCTAAGACTGCATGTCAAATACCTGCTTGCAAACAGGGAATCGAAGCAGTATGTTATGCTATTGTGTTTAGGAAAAACATTTTCTTGAAATTAAACAATAACATGGAGGCAAATCTATTACCCTTAAAATAATGTCATCCTCAGAAATTTGTCCCTAAATACTGTCACTGATAGAACACGAGATGAACAACCACGAGACACAGATAGAATAATACTCTTTTACCAAAAGTTTAATTAATTCAATTTATGCACCAACTCCTAAAAATTCAAATTCAACAAGGAAAGACAAGCAAAGCTCAGCATATTTTAGAATCTAACCTCATTGCACTCATTCAGTATTGAAATTAGGTCACTCGCTCGATACAAGCTCCTTGAATTGAAATTCTGGACCAAAATGCTCTTTGATGTCTCATCTGCTGTAATAGGCATCTAGAGAGATGATATATCCTTTTCTTAAAGAGCGCTATAAATTTTGTCCAGCCTCAATATTCTTCAGAAATGTTCAATCTAGGCCTGAATATATTTTTTAGCCCAGAAAGTAAATGAGGTGTATTACCACCAGGCGAGAGGTTTTTGGGGTGCGGTTTTTCTGGGACAATTTTTGGCGTATTTCTGGGACAATTTCTGGTAACCTAGTTAGCCGTTGGCCATCGCTTGTAGCCCTGAGCTAGGGAACCCTGCCAGGTGGTACCAGTCGGGTCAGGCTGGACCTGTAAGCTAGTGGAGGGAAGGGCCGCTTCAATTCCCCATTCATGTCCTGTCGGAGCATGCCACTGCCCTGATGGAGGCTCAGACTATTAATTAAAATCTAAATGAAAGAAATTTCGTAATTACAATTTTTCCTGGCAATTAAAACAATTTCTGGGACTTCACATGTATAGACACTGAATATTGGAAGAATGGTATGTGATCATTTAACGTCAGTCATTTAACATCAGTTGGATTTGGAATAATCGCTTGCAATTGACAAAGAACTACTTGCTTTCGTTCACATATTTTTCATCAGAACCTAAAATTTTTCCAAAGCTACTAAGAATCATAAACTGGTCACCGGAAATCACCTCTCGTTCCTTACTTGTGCGTGACGTGTGCCAGGTTTGTACCTTGGAACATAATAAGACACTCAATGTCATTGATGCTGTCCAATGACGAGTGGTTGCTCCAGTCGCTTTTGCTAAATGAAGGCAAGGTGGAGCCGGGGGAGGGGGATAGCTGGGGGGGTTTGAGATTAGTCAAAGTAATTTCAAAAAGGAATTGAATAAACGCAAGATAAAATATTATAACAATTATTAGTTCTGTTATTTGATGCTGATAAAAGTCTAGAAGAATTAGCATCATATCATTGTTAAACATGTTTTGGCGTTATCTTTAAACACATTCCTGTATCTCTTTGTATATCTACTGTACTGCAAACTGTTGCCAAAGCCAGTAGCTATGGCAAATTAATGATCAGATCAAATTTGAATAATTTGAAGAAGCAACGAGTATCTTTTTAGAGGGATTTGAGACTCTTTCGCCGATCCACTCTTTTAATGAGGTTCTGGTACCCAGGGTAAAAGATGCCTGGCGGGCAGGGGCGAAACTTCACTATTTTCATTAGGGGGGTATGAAGCTTGGATGCCCGACGAAAGGGCGTGTCATGCTTGATGAAAGGGCGTGTCATACATGAACTTCATTTTTAGAGCACATCGCCTCAAGGGCTGAAATCATCGGGAAGCCCGAGAGAGGGTCTTTAGACTCAGGCTGTTTGTTTAAAGTCAAGTAATATGCCTATAGTTTTTTCTGGTGTTGGCTATAAACATTTGTTTCCGAAAAGCAAGCATTTGTAAGGCCTGTCTTTTCTATAAGATAGTCTTCACTTTCTAAATCACCTAGCTATTAGAAGAGCAATTCAAAAAAGGGGATTGAAGTAGGGTCAAACTTTATCAAAGTGGAAAACCAAAACAAAACACGGAATTTAGCAACAGCTACGCAGATTACATTGTTTCAACAAAAAAGAGCTTCAGTTGCATTTTCTAAATTTCATTTTCAATTTTCGGTTGCTCCGGAAGCAATTTCAACATTATTAGACGCCCAAGCACAAAGTACGTATCTCTAAATTCACCATAACAAAATCCTTCAAGCAAAGGAAAGTTTTTTATTGGAGGTATTTTACAGGTACACCTATCATTAAAGCTCAATTTTTGTGTTTTCGTAATCATGGATAATGTTCAGAAATAGAATAAACCCGAAAGTTTTTTGCAATTTATATCTTAACTACATACAATTTCTTGATAAATTTTATATTATTTCCCGCTTGAACTGATTAAAACTTTCTGTTACTTGTTACGGTTATTCGAATTTTTTTAGTTAAAATACTTTGGCGTCTGTATGACCATTTTCTAGCGAAGGGTGCAATACTTTCGAACTGTAGGTGTAAAACTTTAAGAGAATTATGGGGCATAACTCCTTATGAATGTATGATGAATGTTTCATACATTTTGAAAAGAAAGTATTGATTGACTTTTCTCAACAAAGTAATCCGAGATGGTATATCCTTCATGCTTTGATTTATGATGCTTCTAAATCTGTCAGTGTTCCATGGGCAGAATGGAATCACAGCAAAAGATTTTGAAAAAAGCTCTCTTGTTTTGCAAAATATAGGGGGGAGGGGTATGCACAGTGTTCATTTCCTTCTCGCATCAAACACACTTTACTTTCCGCCTATACTTTCGCTGTCGATCAATACTTCAGACTTTATCTCGAGGCGAAAATAAACATGTGCGCGTCGAGCTAGAGACGAAAGCGCTGATCGGTGGACGAAAGACAGAAATGTATATATGTTGCTGTTCCTAGCCTCGTTTCTGTTTTGTTTTCCCAACTGGGAGGAGATTGAAAAAAAGATGGGGGAAAAGACCACAAATTCAAAAACCAAGCTAGGGCAAAAAGTAGCAATAAAAGTCCGACCTAAAGAAAACATCCAGATTTGCCCGACAGATACACTGGCAGCCATAAATTTGCCCGACAAAATCTGCTTTTTTGAAGATTAGGGGGGGGGGTGCAGCACCCCCATACCCCCCAGTAGTTTCGCCCCTACTGGCGGGTGCTCAACCAAAGGACTGAAATTAACCCCATCTCCCTGGAATTCATTTTAATATTACACCCCCCTTATCTCTGAAAGCTGACAATCTACAAGAGCATTGGACATCCTTAACTTATCATTAGTATGATTATCAATTTTAGCAGCTTTGGACTGAAAACATGTTTAGAAATATATGCCCAGGCAGCTTAACACTTCGTTGTAAGGGAAATCATGCATAGACACGTATGAGACAAGGCAAAGCAGAAATATCAAAATAACCACCATGACAAGTTCCTGTTTTTATGATAACACTCCTTTTTCAAACTAAATCTGAGGATGCACAAACTATTTCTCAGTAGTAGCTTCTCCCAAAATGCACCTACCCTAACAAGCTGCATTTTACTATAATATCGGAATGTGCTTACATCCGGCGATGGGGAGGGGGGGAGGGCATAAACTTCCTCAGGAGGGTACAAAATCCAATTCACTGTACCTACCAAGGTATCAAGTGAATGAAATCAGCAACATCCAAAAATTTTAACGAGTCCATAGTCCATACTTCTCTCCATCTTCCCTCCCTTCTGCTCGCATTGATACAGAATTGAGATAGCTTCTACTAGACATTGCCAGGCAATAGATTCAGCATTCTAGCATAGGCCCCATTTCAAAATTTCTAACGCAATAAAATTTTACTATTTTTCATGACATTATATTGCATAATGATAAATAAGACATCAAAGTAAAAACTGCAATAACTTTATTTTTTTTGGCAGGTTCTTTTTCGATAGCTAGTGTTGTATGACCCAAATCAAGATGTTGAGGGCCAAATTACTAAGCTTCCGATGTGCCAAAATTTGGAGTTCCCATTCCCCTGAAATGAAAACAACCCAAAACATAAAACAGTCCAAATTTGATTAAGAATTGTATTTTTATTTGCTACATAGCATCCTAAGGTAGTTTTAGGACACTGAAAAGCTGTGCTTATCAAGCATCGTTCCTCTCGACGTGACCACACGTCATGATTCCTACGCTTAGAAATACAGAGATTTGGTGAATCTCCTAACCCTGAAAGAAAAATTGTTAAAGTCCGGGGCGTTCGTACCCTGGGTACCAGACTTAGTGAGTCTGGTACCCAGGGTAGGGCGTTCGAAGCACATAATCTTGGATCTGTAGTCGGCGATCCTAACGACTTGGCATTTTGCAAACAACTGCCACCTCCATTCTGCATCAATCTTTATGCAATCTCTGGTGTTGCTGAATGTTAGTTAGTCTTAATAGAAGTAAAGCCTCGGCAAACCCAGTACAATATTTCGTTCAACAAATCCCAACATTGTTGGACGTCTTGTTGGGCATTATGGGATATTTCTGGATATAGGGGATCAGCAGCAACAACCACAGGGCCTAACTTCAATTTCATTCGTTTAGGCCTCTGCAGGAAACTGAACATGGCGAATCGGTCAACTAAAAGTGACAAGCAGGAGCAATAATGTTTTTAGGTCTATTTGAAACTTCATATCCCCAGCTTAATTTCTTATCAGTGGTTGATAAGTATCGTCAAAGTGAATTTTTTTCTCTTTGGATCCTTTGATATCTGCCCTGCGGGTCTCTCTTTTACTTATTGGGGCCCCCTTTTTTATTGTCGTCAAATTCCCCTCCATCACATTGTGAGTATCATAGAACGAGATAAAAACAATTTTCATTTTTTGTCTTCGTCTGACGCAAGCTGGCTCATTCACAAAGGCGGCTTTTCTCTTTGTGTTCAGTTTCCATCTTTCGTTATCACTGCTTCCTGAGCAAAGCAAAACAAATCAATTTTGGCGGGCTTTTCCTTACTGCGCTTGCGCTATGGTGACGCTTTTGGACAGATAGTATTTTTAATGATTTTATACTCATTCACATGTTGCTATTTTACATCAATACGAAAAGTAAAAAGGCTAGATTCAACAGTAGCAAAAGTGGAGAGGACTTCTTAGATAGAAGATAAACGAAAGTGACAGGATACCACTGTGGGATTTCCAGAAACATTAGAAATCAGAAAGCATTTTGAATAGCATAGTACTCATAAGGTATTCTTGAGGAACCTTGCATGTGGCAAAAATTGCGACCATAAACGGTTTAAAGAGCGTTTCCTTTCTTCTCTTTGTCGTGAATGACAGAATGGTACAAAGTTGCACTCTCTGGTTCCATGTTCCATGCAATCATCTGACAATGCGATGGAATCAGGAATAGTCAAATCAGGGGGTAATCATTAAACCTCACACCTTAACCTTACGAAGCCTTAGAACAAAATGCACACAAATGTCTCATTTTTGTACCATGACATCTGGAAAACGTCCCAAAAAAAGCTTGCAATGAAACTAACCAGAGCAAGATTTGATGGACAATTCAACGACAAGTCTAACCACAGAAATGAGCAACATAACAATTTTTTAAAACAATTGCAAGCTTTTTTGGAAGCTCTATGAGACCTTGGCACTGTTTTAAAAGAAGAAAGGGACTAATGCTTCATTTGATACGTATTTGATACAAGAGACCACGGCAGTAAACGCGCGTCAAACCCCACGTCAAACCCCGCGTCAACCCCCATGTCGGACCCGTCAGAACGTTTCTTGTTGACCAAAGCAAAGAAGAAATTCAAGGATGCTTCAGGCGGAAGAATTTTCTTTGTTGATGTTAATCAACATTAGAAAGCTACAGCATTTCTGCCCCTGTCAATACACCTATAAGGATTGTACAACGGGGTAATCAAACAACTTTCTTTCTTCTTCACAAAATACTGCAACCTTCTGCAGCAAATCAGGGTGATACAAGTTTTTCCAAGAAGAAAGATTAAGAAGTACGATCAAACTCAAAAAAGTACGATCACAAGAAAATTAACTGTGGTATTCAGATCTGTTGGTTCAGTAGAGGTTTTCGGGTTTCGTAATTGTTGAGTTAAAAAGAAAGGTGGACGATCTGCTTTTAAAAATAGGTTCGTCATAAAATCCAGATAAAATCAGTAATGAAATTCTACAGCATAGCATACAGCTATAAAATTATGATGTGTTGATATGCAACAAGGAAACAAAAAACTACACAGATGCTTTAACAATGAGCTTTCCTTGCTCTTCAACACCTTCGCCCCCCCCCCCACCATCGTGGGATCATCAAATACCGGTTTGCGAAAGAGACTGGGAAGTAGTGACCTATTTTGAAAAATCACCTCGTTGGTTTTGAAAGATTAGAAGCAAAGGATGCAGCTAGGCTTGTGTTTCTGTGACTTTCTTTTTCCATACATCAAATGTTCTATTTACAATTTTGAACTGGTTTAGCATTACATATACCAAAAACGGTATTCTACATCAGATGCTGAATGGCTTAAGAAGACAACAACTTTACATAAAACTGGAAAGCTTAGTATCATTTTCGCTTAGCGATGAAACAACAGACGAATAGTTATATCAGAGTGAGTGGCTACATAATTGATAAACTTCCTAAATAAAGAATTTTATCAAAAATCTTATTATGGTGTTTTACGAAAGTATGGAAGTTGACTGAATTTCTAGTAATATGATGGCAGTTACTCGCCGTAAAGGCTCTATTAAGCCATGGAGGGGGGGGGGGTGGCTTATTTAGTTTTTTTCAGTCCTAGAGGGAGGTTTAAAAGAGAGAGGGGTTTATAGAAGAGAGTGGGGCTTATTAATTATTCAAAATAAAATAAATTATAAAAATGCGATGCATATGATAATATCATCATCACGCCCGTTAAGAGACCCAGTCAACGTGAATATCATCTTTAATTGATATCAATGGCTTATTTCAAATTTTGACTTGGTAAAGGGGTTTAATAGAGAGGAGGGCTTAATAGAGAAGGAGGTTTAATAGACAGGGGGCTTAAAATAGTTTGTACGGCAACTAGTTAAGTTAAGTTTATCAATTACTGGAAGAGCCATTCGTTTAAGGTTGTGCCTATTATTTAAGGTAGTCCTCGTCATTTAAGGTGTCGTTCATCATAAAAGATTGCTTTTATCTACAAGGATGATAAAAGCATACCAAAGCATAAAGCTTCCCATTATTGTCAAATCATATTCTACATCTAACAATTTTAACTAACTAAAAATATTCACATACTAAACTGGCATAAGAACTAGGCCTCTCGAATGAGCTTCTTCTGCGATACAAACAAAGTCCTAAATATAAAGACCCTTCTGAAATATAAAGCAAACTGCTGTGGGAAAAATCTTGCCAAAGTTCTTTTTCGCTGCTTCTTCATTCGTTTGGAATTAGATATCTAAAAATGAGCACATGGGTGGTAAGGTGCCGGCCATTTCCTCAATCTCTTCGTTGTCCCTTGAGGAAAGCTCGTTAACTTCTAGATTAATGCTTGCACTGACTGCTTTTCCAAAACCCGTTTCGAGGCCACTTGTCTCGCAGAATACTGAATCAAGCATGTCGAAGCTTGAGTCAGAAAGAGGCTGCATTGAAACACCAAAACTGCTGCTTTCTGAGCAAGTGCTGGAAGGGCTTGTCACAGAGCCTACACTTGAAAGAGAGACTCGAACTGACAAGGAGGATCTGTTGTTGGGGCTGGGACTTTGGGCAGAAGTCCCTAGGGTCATGGAATTCATATTAACTTGCTGCAAAGGCTGCCTGTGAAGTTTTGGAAGTGGCATCTTCCCACATGGCGGCCCACTATAAACATTCTGAACGTGTTGTTGCTGTTGTTCTAGTTGAGGTGTCGTTAACTCTTCTGTAGTGTTCTCGTCCTGTTTTTTGACACCACATAAAATTGTTGCCATGCCAGCCAGCAACTTAGCTTTGTCTTCAGCTTGAATGCTGTCCAGCGTAATGAGGAACTGGACGAATTCGCTCACACATTGATTGTAACCAGATCGGTAATTGGGATTTTGTTGATATTCTACAAAAAAACGTTACTGTTAAACTCACAGTAAAAATTACTAAGTGAACCCTTTTGATACCTGAATCAAAAAATTTGAATAGATGTAACTAAAAGAAACAAGCCCATGACTGTATGATGGTAAACTGCAAGTTCCCGCTTAAAAGAATTTGACAAAAGAGAAACTGCAGCCTGCCAGCATAGAGAATAGCTTCTCCTTCATAAGAAAGTAGGCGGCCTGAATTTCTTCTAATTTCATATTAATGGGGAAATATTGAAAAAATTATATAAATGGGGAAAAATTGAAAAGGCTCATCAAAGTTCAAATAAATACATTATATACTTCACACTTAATTCATCCATAATCATTTCTTAGGGTATTCCTGCTAACTATGCAGCATGATCATTCACAGATTTTTTTTGACAGGAAAGCATCTTGTTAAAAAGTGTTTCTGATATCAGCAAGCCCCTATAAAGATATTTTCTGCATATAAGAAACTAGACAGCCTGATAAGAAGCTTTGAGTTCTTTAAATCATGGAATTACTGTATGTTAAAACTGTCCAGTTAGATAAACTGAATAATATTACCTTTTGTTCTTGACTGACGAACATAGCTGACGGTCGCTTCGAGTATGTCTGCTTTGTCGACCTTGTCACTCTATGAAACAACGCTTGCTGTTAGAAATGTTGGTTGTTATAAATAAGTTCAGCAAAACAGAATTAGCGATGAAAAATTAAGCTGGATAACGGTTTTAGTAATAGTGGAAACAAACACAGATACGCGAACAGTGCATTTAAGTGTGAGCCAGGGCTAAACCACGTTATGATAATGAAGATGGCCTAAGGAAGGCAGGGTGCAGAGCAATTAAATATATTCAGCATATTTAAGCATTTCAGAAGAAAACTAACTTGGCTAACCGCATGTTCTTTATAAAGCTTGATGAATAATAACAACAAGGAAAATAATGCTTGTCTTTATCGTGTGACTAGTCTTACTTTTCTCAGTCCTTATTTACATAACGTTTGACCTTCCAAACAATAAATCCCTTTGAAATTCTACAGCTCGTTGGTTATAGATCTATAACGAATCGAGTCACGGTTTTAACATTGGATTTTCTTTATTTAAACATCGCGTCAGCTAAATTAAATTTAAAATCAAGAAAATTTAAAGCGTATATTCTAATTTGGCTGGGCAAAGTTTCCCTAACTACAAAAAACAGCTGTCAGCCCATTACCAGAATTTGAAATAAATTTGTTATGAAATTTCTCTTGCTCGTAAGGGACATGTTTTTAGGATACTATTGGCAGCTGCAGTACAAATTATTTGGTAAAAAGTACTGCACATCGAACAGATATTCTTCAGCTTTTTCAACTGTTTGAATTGCTAAAATTTCTGGGATACACATTTACAAGAAATCATCTTTTGATGCATATTATCATTAATGCAAAGTTTTATTTTCTGTTCGATTAATGAAAAAAATAGTGATACAAAATACCGATTGAAGAAAGTATAGTCAAAATTTGCATGCTATTTTACTGATTTAGAGCCATGATTTGTCGTAAATTACAACGACAATGAATAAACTGTGAGAAATATAAAATTTCTTGATAATACCCTTTCAGTCAGGTTGGCAGAAACTCAGCTCTACATTAGAACTATTTTCTTATACAACGTTTGCAGAAATCTTGAAAATTAAATAGGTTTGATGGGTAGTAAAAGTAATTTAAGTCGCAAAGTTGGTGGGTAGCAAGAAAATCTCCCAAAATTTCAGTGTTATGAAGAACTGGAAGCTGTGTAAAATCGCTTTTCAGTATGACTTGCTCGAGCTACTAAAGACCACGCTACCAGAATGAAAACGAAAGTCGATCGCCTTCACCGTGGATGGCATGCACTAACTCTTTCTTTCATTCTGTTTTGCTTTCACTCTGAAGCATGAGCAATATGGCGAAGGTCTCCCGAAGTATGCTCATCAAAAATTAAGAACAAAAATAATAGATTCTGAAACTTACCCTTTCCTCATCTTTACAAACCATGCCTTTGAGCTCATCTAGAGCAGAATTGATTCTTTCACGCCGCACTCGCTCTGTTTTTTGCTTTCTCGACTAAAACATAAAAACTTCTTAATTACTGACAATAACTTGACAAGAAAAAAAACTATTGATAGTGACAAAAGGAGTGAAGATGACTCATGTAACCCACGAAGATTATAATGGTGATTGGTGATTGAAGCGATTGAAATTATAACGATGGTTACGATATTGATGATAGTTAATGATCGATAAAAATGATTATGATTATGACTGTGATGAAGATAAGGTGTGTGATTATAATGATTGTGACGACATTTGGTTACATGCGCTGTAGAAAAAGTCAGCTTCGTTACGAGGCTGGTGGAAGTATGGAATAATACGAGGCCGGCTGTCGTTTGACGTAGTAATCTAGATCAAATGTGCCAGAATCTACGCTAAATTGGTTGTCAGTTGTAAAATTAGCAGCTGTAGCAGACGTTGGAAGATAAACAAATCAAAGGAAGAGGATAAAACTGTAAACAAGAGGTGAAATAACAATGAAGACAGTTTAGTAAACATTTGGAAATTTATCAAAGATAAAAAGATTTGCTTACGCTTTGTTTCTAATTAATCTCGTAACAAACAAATAAGAGACAGAAGACGAGTGTCGTTCAAAAGGATCTGAATGGGAACAAAAGGTTTAAGGTGGCACAAAGCAAAGATTTGTGGGCCAGGTGTCGAGACAAAGGAATCGCCCCAGTCTGGGTGCATTGTGGCTTAGCGGCCTTGTTTTAAGTTTTGGATGCGATTCAATAATTGTGGAGGCTTGTGGAGGCACCTCACTGCAACTCGTGCAGCTAAAACATTGAAGTGCTCCTTGGCTAAGAAGGGGCTGGCTCAAATGTATTTGAGCATTTAAAAAGCTCAATCCAATTTACTTCTTTTTGTTTATCATGTAGATGAATCATATAGTACAAAGTTTTTTCCCCTGAAGGTAAATCGTCTGGATTTGTGGAAGGTGGTAATTTGTCCTCGATTTCACTTTGTCCTCGATTTCACTTGATACGATATCAGCAATGCACGACAACCATTGTGCAGCCTGCATGATTATTGTCGTTATTTCATCTAGATTCTAGAACTATTTTTCCTTTATGGGTTGAAAAGGCCATTTGCACCACCCACGACTGTTTGTCGAGAAAGAGCAGGAGGGTTTGTGTAGGACGATCTTCTGGCGTAGCTCAAACGGAAAACATAGTAGAAAAGATGTTAAAGACAGCGATTTGTTTGGACAAAAAACTAAGGAAAAAGCAATGATGGGTGAAAGGCGACCAATTCCTTGGTTGTTTTGAAGTCTCACGACTGAATGGTTGAATGGTGTAGTAACATGCTTAAGGATTATTTGAACATTCACTGAAATTAAATAATTGGAGGCTCGTGTCGTTGGGAATCCACAATCTGTAATAGAAAATTTAATCTTTCGAAACAAGAGAGCTATAATCCCTTATAACAACAGATGAATTGTGAGACACGTGGATGGGAGGGCAAACTGCAGGCGAAATCAAGACAATATTTATAAAGTAAAATAGATTTACGTCGAAATAGACTGTGGTTGTCGGGGTCTGTCTTCTGACTAGTTTCGATTAGGGTTTCTGTTCCTTCTTTGCCTTTAACATGAATTTTGCAAGTATCTTAAACTGACTCACAGAGGTAGTATTAACGGGGAAGCGGCCAAGAGTATGCAAAAAGGTACGATGCAGAATCACATTAACAAATGAGCTGCACAACAATTCAGCAGATAAGGTATTTTATCTTGCTGGTACTGTTCCATAATAAGCTGCTAAAATACCAACATTTTACATCTTCAGGTGTACTTACACCAATATGACAGCGAGAAAATTTCGGCATCAGATAGGCAAGAGCTATATCCGGGCTCTTTTCATGGCAATTAAAGGATTTTAAAAACTGGGTACGTGGGACGTAAGGTTTCAGGAAGACGCATGTTTGCTGCGGCAAAGCTTTATTTGTCCGTTCAGTGAATGATTTTTCAATCAGCCGATTTTGTGTCAACTTTTGTGCGTCACAAATACAAGACAGACTGAAAATGCGGACCATATTGCAATTTGAGGAATATGCAACGTAATCGGAGCTCAATATTTACCGTGTGGCAGCTCGTCTCTTATCTGCTTATTTCGGCTGTTTCCCTGCCTTTAGATTTAAATTTTCCTTGTTATTGATATTATATATTCTATACTATGAATAACTATTAATTGTTAGAATAATAAGCAATGTTGACCCATATATGTTTACTAAAAAGTGAATAAATGGTAAGAACTCATTTTTGACAACCCCATTTTTGGCAACATCATTTAACCTCCTGCATAGAGAAGGCTACTCCAATAAAGTGGCTACTCTAATAAAGTGGCTCAAATTGTCTTAGCAATAGGAAAAAGGTTCCGAAATTTCTACTCTGCAACAACCACCCAAGTTGACTCCAAGTAGGTTGCAGAATCGTTAGGAGAGCTGATAGTTTTGTATCAAGTGCTATTTCGCTTAAATTCGGTCCGAAAACGAACGTTTTGTTCGAGATGGAGTTTAATTTCTCGTTCCGCAAACATTGAAGGAAACACTGATCACCGTTTTATGGCATTGCAATTCATGAAAAATTGGGATCGGAAAACTATATCCATTGTCGAGTGTTCTGGTAGACACTAAACTCAGTACAATTTGTGATGCTGTTCGAGCCAAACACAAATACACGAACAAGAAAACAAACGCCGTCTTTTCAAGGCCTGGAAAATCGTTTAACAGATGTGGTTACACAATATCATTAGGCAAATTACGATAATTATTCTTTCACTCACTTGCACTACATTTTGGAATTCTTCCTCTATAGAAAAATTGCCTATTAATTCCTATATTTTCTGCCCCTGAAAACGAACAAGATGAGTCCTTCATAGATATATTACGTGTTCCTTTAACTGACTTATCTCACAATACCACAGCACGTGCCATGCCCATTAGCGCAAGTCAACCCTAAGTCGAAAGCTATGAGACAACATTTGTGTTCGGATATGATTTGGTGACAAAAATGGAAAGTACTAGTTGTGTCTAGAAGTGTGATCATTAGTGGTGCCATTGAGGACACGCGACCAACCAGTCCATGAATGAGTGGGTGTAGCCAGGTGAGCTATAGACGGGCAAACAACGACAGCACGAGCTAGATTGACTTCATCCCCGTGTTTAATCAGATCATATCAAATACTCTCAAATAGCAGAAATTTATGGCCCGTTAGCTCGGCCGACCGGCTGGACCTCACTGCTCATAGGCCTACCAGCAATTTTTACACAGCCCTTCCAGATAGTTGTGATAGTTCACTGTATAACCAACACTATTTTTGGGATAGAAAGTGCAGTTTCTCTTATTTCTACCCGAGACTTCTAATTTCCAAAAAGAACTAACTACATGACCTATTCGTTACTTCTAACAAAGACTTGGTGCTATTTGAATCAGTTTTTGAGACGACATAGAAGCCAAATTGGAGCGTACTGGCATCAGTTCAAGTATATAAATACGAAGCTACAAGTAATAGAGAATAGAGCCTTCTAAGAAGCAATTTTTCATTTTCATGTTCTGTTTTGAGAAAAAATCATCTTACTGCCCATGTTCTGGTTTCTGAAAACGCAAGAATCGTTCAGATACTAAATAACTGTAAATAACTGCTAAAGGTGACGCATTCCTTCATTTTCAAGCAGTTGAAATGGAGAGGCATGTCCAGGTTTTCACGTACGCTTTTATCTGCGTTGTCGAATTAAAATATTGGAAAAACGCAATTTAGGGATTAACAGCATCTTTTGACTTACTGACTCGGCTTTTCAGCTTACATTTTTTCTAATTCGGGCCTCTATTGTAATAATTACATTGTAGCTGGAGCCAGTTGGCGCAAATAGAATGCAGCCTCGTCTCTGACAGTTCATTTTGAACTATTTGGTTTACAATAATTACGTGGGGGTGGTTTAGTGAACCTAGCTGATATATTGATAGATGCCATGGGAAAGTTCAAATGACTTCTTCGGTGTTTTCTCTTGAACACAAAGTTTATAAGAACAAGCAACGAGAGGTCCTGTGAGTTCTAAAGGGGGGTAATTATAGCTCTTGTGCAGGAAATCAGGAGTCATACACAAGAACAATTTCAACAATAATACTCAAATCCTGGCAAAAGGAACGACTCGCTCTGACACGGGGCGCATTCAATGATATGCAACGCGCGTTTGTGTTCTTTTCTTTTCGCTTTGTAATGACAGAATTATCGTGAGCGTTCTACTTAGCTTAGTGTGCACGAAAGCAAACGTACTCACGTTTATTGTGAGTAGCATGCAATAACAAACCAGCCAGAGTATGAATGAAATCATCTTGGTTTCGTGTAACCCAGTTAGTTCCCCAACGCTAATAGAGCTTCAGAAAAAGCTAATTTTGTTCCTTCTACCTCAGTCCCCCAAGGTATTGGCACTGCTTATAGAAAAGGTCTATACAGGCACCGGCATTGGTGCCAATGAAACGCGCAAATGGCAATCACGGAAACGACATGTAAGGTTGTATACTTTACCTGAGTACCCTCTCAATGAAACCTACACTACTACAAAACGTGAGAATGCCTTGAAAGAATGCGGCAAGAATTCGTCAACGGGCCGACTGTGTTGAGACAGGATGGTCAAATTCTTGCACTTATCCTTTCGATCTCTACTTTACATAAGCATATCGCAGCACATAGCAACCATTTAAATATTTGGTAGCCTTCAGAATCAGTAGGATTCGGTTTTGGATTTCAGTTGAAGAAAGGCTTAAGAACACACAAGAGGTCATGAGTTTCAATCCATATTGACAAGATCACGTCTCTCTTCTGCGTGAAAAAGGGATCGAGTGTTTGTACAATTGTTACGTTGAAAACCAAGGCTGATTCAAGAAACAAGCGCATTCGAGCTAGCGTAAACTCTGCTAAATCTTACTGTTTTATCTGCAGCAAATCTTGTGTGTGAAAGGACAAGAAAGATTTAGGAAAAACTCCTGTGGACTGGAATATGATACCATTTTAGAATCTTATTTGTGAGCAGAACATAAAACTACTTGTTTTGCATCCACTACTGGTAAAAAGATCCAAGACGCATTAGAAAATTCCAACAACTTTGCCTTTTTCTGACACAATTACCCTAAAAAGCTGACCGGGCAAAGGCGGCTTCATTCTGCCTTCTGCACAGGTCTGCGCTTCATTGAGAGTTTTACTCAAATATGCGTAAAAGACCTGCTTGGGGAGAGTTCTCTACCAAAAGAATTAAAAGAAGAGAAATTCAAACTTTTGAATCTAATAAAAAGGAAATCGGAACAGGAAATTGTGGCAAAGAGTCACGATCAAAGACCTTTTTACCCAGAACAGTAAATGCCCTAGCTAAGTGCACTAAACTGTTTTTTTCCGCTGACCACACTCGTAAATTCAGGCATCATTAAAAGGCTTCCCGCCAAAAACAAATTGAAAAACTGCATCTTACCATTTATAATGACAGCTAAAACATGGGTCAGCGGATGAACAAATATGAGTGTAGATTTGACAAAATTTGTAATGACTTACCAATCTTAGATTTCCACGGTAAGCCCTCTTCTCTAATTTGTTCTCTTCAGACATGTTTTTTGATGAGTTCATATGTCTTTCTCTTGTCAAATCGCTGCCTCTCTAACACCAAGAGCCGTGGTTTGATCAAAACTCAGGTAGCCTTGAACAATAAAACACGAGGTCCATTATCTCCAATTCCATATTATCATTCACAAAACAATAGGGCATTATTTTTTCCTTTGTTTGCTCATGTCAGTACAGGTGTGGACTCTTAGAACCGTTGAAATACTTGGCCATTCAAATCAGGCCCTCACTACTGCAGCCGCCGGCCGCAAGAGCGGTTTGGCTTTTTGAAGGCAGTTTTTAAGAGTTGAACCATTTTACAATGACAAACCCAAACAGTGATAGGAAGTTGGACATTAACTAAAAATAGGAGAAGGATTTATTAAAGGAATAAGTGGATACTATTTTAAGAAACTTAGTACCTTAGTTTCGGTTTATTTTGAATAAACTATCGTTTAGCTTTAAGAACCGACAAACATCACTAAAAAAGAAGGCGCTTAAATCTTATTCACAAAATAGGGGGTACGTCAGACCCCCAATAAAAAGCATCATAACCTTGGTAACAGCTACCTCGAGGAGGGGCCACTGCTAAAATAAGGAAGACGATCCAAGTTATCGTAAAACAACTCAGTAACTCAAAGAACGTTGCAGAGTTCCAGTTTTTAAAAGGAACATCAGAATACCGTTGCTCATTTATTTCAAAGGAAACAAAAGCAAGTAAAGATGCAGAAACTGGAAAAGCACATCCAGTCTTTCCCCCAAGAGGGTCGTTAATAAACGATCAAAAAATACATGTGTGGCCTCCGGCAACCCGTGCGGCCACTTGGCCAGTATTGCAACGCGGAGGCTAGGGAAGGCAGACATCCAAGACTGCCCCGCCATATGAAGTATCTGTCTAAAACATAGACCTTCCAGACATGACAAACAGCGGAAACCTTGAAAATCTATATTAAATAGCTTTAAATCATGGGTAGTAACTTAAATGTTTCTAAAACTGCTGGAACTCCAGTGACCACAAGCGCTGGTGCGAGAGCCAAGTTGCTGGAAACGGTGGTTGTTGTTGTGGGTTGAGCCAAATTGGTGAACCGTTCGAACAATGGCGGCGCCAGTCAATAGGCTTTGGGAGGGGGGGGGGACAAAGCGAAACTTTTCAGGCAACGCTCTTTTACCATAAAAAAACGTCCTTTCAACCGGAAGGAACGCCAATTTTACTTGAACGAAAGGCCCATAACCCTTGTTTTATTCAATGTAAATAAATGTATTCCGTTCATGCAATACTTTAAGTGGAATGATATTTAGTTGGCAAAAAATGTTACTTCAAATTTCCTTTCTTAAGATTAGACAAGCACCCCCTACCTCCATATCCCTAACGAATGCTTTTAATGGTATGCTATAAACCGAGAGGTGTATCACTCCATAAAAAGGCGTACGAGATTTTTTGGATTCAAAAACCCGTCAATTTCCGGTCCGGATTTGCGGATTTTTTCAGATTTTGAGCAAATTTTTCGGATTTTTCCTCCGAAAATCTTAAAGAAAAGTCATTTAGCTTCATTATGCCTCTTTATTTGACAATATCGATTATCGCGAAATGTTAGTTGGCACATTTTATTTATTCATGCAGTTCTGTGAAAAGAACTGTGAAAAGATCAAAACATGATCAAAACAAGTTATTAAGCCATGTCCTTTTAACTTAAAAACATAACTCAACGAAGCAACTCAAGCAAAAGCATAACGATAATGCAGGGTGGACAGGGTATCAGAAACACTCCGCCCACCTCAGAATTCTTCAAAAAATGATGACATTTGAATTCATTTGACGCATACCATTTTAAAATATATTCTATCTTCATTCCAACGATATCAAGTTTTGGCACTTTCATTAAATCATGTATTACTTAATAGACTATTCAGCTTTTCCACAAAAGAGTCTTGATCGAGTCATCTTTTTATACAATGGCTCGATTGAGTTGCGTTAAAGTTCTTAGAGCATATATCGTTTTGTCATTTCATCATGCTGGAAAATTTTCAACTATGGTTTGGCTACATTTTCCAAGGTAGCTCTTGGCCTTTTATTGCCTTTTAAGCACGAAAATGATAGTATTCTCCCTAACAATGACTTGGAAGGATCATCTTCTCTCCTAAAGAGGCGCTGGTCTCCAGGGTTTCCAATGTTACGTTCTCGTTATGTTGCGCATCTGCGGTGCCGAGATTTTTGTAAAATCAAGGGTTGGTAGCTCTTTTTACGTTTTTTTTGTCAAGGAAGGGATTTTTGGTGCACAAAAATAATAGGACGACTGGAAGAAGAACTCGTGTTACCAAAAATGACTGTCAGCCAGCAAGGAACTATGATGAGGAAGGGTAACAGCAACAACAACGGGAAGTCTCTGTATTCACTGTTCCAAATCATCCAGATAATCGTCCAGATCATCCACCGTATCTTTCGATGATGTTTTTGATTGATCCAAAAGATTCTCGTCCAAAATGTAATTCCGTTATGTGATTCAACGCTGATGTTGCCAGAGTTGGCCTTATTTCTTTGACTTGGTACCGGACATTTCTTGCACATTTCTGAGTCTGATTGGATTTTCGGAATTTGTTTTCTTGGTGGATCTCTTGTTTTTTAAAAGGATTTTAGTGAATTTTTGCGGATCTTTGGCAGGGTGTACGAGGATTTTTGGAGCGATACACCCCTCGCTATAAACAAGCTTTCCTTTATAAAGTTTTACTTAAAAAAACAAGAGTGTCAGTGACAAGCTTCCGCATTCCAGGGTAATCAGAAGCAGGGCTGGAGGAGGGTTGCGGCCCCCAGTAATTGCCGAATTTAGCAGTGGAATTGACAGCCAATATCCCCCTCCCCCCCCCACACACACACAAACAGAACCTCGTTCCGACAACGCCGCTATGCACCTGGGTATCTGTAGGGCAAAATCATCCATCCCCAACTCTTTCACGTACATAAGATGCTTTTACAAACTCCTCCCTCTTCTTACACATACTTATAGACGCCTTTACTGCAAGTTAATCTATTCACATTACGATAATCATGTTCTGTCAGAGAAAATTAAATCTTGGCAATACGTGGGTGTAATACTCGTGTTACCCGCTTCCATTTGTCAAGTCATCAAGGCCTTATTCCAACAACTCTTTAAGAAATTATTAGAAAAGATTAGAAATATTTTTAATAATGCGAAAAAGGTTGAGGGAAACAGGCCTTAAACAGAGCGGCACTTACATTTTCAGGGCCCCGGGGCCCAAACGTAGATGGGAAAGTCTGAACATTTTTCTTGCAGAAACTGAGATAAACGCAGCTTCATAAAGAATTGAATAATAGCTTGAATGCTGAAACCTTTTCTTTTAAAACTAAAAAACACTAGTTAATGAGTGGAAAATATTGTATATCTATGTATATGAAAAATAGACTTTATTGCTCAATTGATTTATAGATAAGACTGTTTCTTTAATCTAAACAAAACGTCTGGATTTTCTTACTACCCCAGGTTGCCGCGAAAGGGTGGGAAAATTGTCAAATTTGGATGCCTCCAGTTTGCTGGAAAATGCAAATTGGAAGCAATTTTTCACAATCCTTCTCTTTAATACAACCTTCCTCTTTAATACAACCTTCTCTTTAAATGAAGGATCCAAAAGAGGAGAAGCTATTTCAAAGTTTTAATAGATTTCCTGGTGTTTTTTTAATGTTCTATTTGAGGTATACAGCATAATTGGATGAATTTTCTCCAGATCGGCCAAAAAATCTCAAATCGGGTGGACGGGACGAAGCATTGATAATGGGACTTATCGGGACGGCTGGAGTCGAATCACTAAATTTCACGTCTTGGCCCACCATTATCAACAAAATTGCAAGGGGCATGGAGTGCAAGACGCATGGAGTGCAAGGCACATCCAGCTGAAAGCCCCATCGGGGAGCTCATCACTTAGGTACAGTAGCTTTCTGCCCTGGTCTGGACTTCACGAATGGACATCTTTTTCAATTTTCTTGTCGACAAGAACATTATTACCCCAGTTTCCTTTTATCTGTTATATGTCTTATTTATATGTCTTTACATTTGTCCCTATTCCCTAAACCCCCCACTTTTCTCAACGCTCCGCGGTGCCTGGTGCTTGTAACCTTGTATTGACCTTTTTTATATGTATTTGTTTAGCAGGAGGGTGTGGTTGTTCTCTCTGCTCTTGCAATTCCTTGCATACAACAAATAGAAGTGTTAGAGGTTGTATACTGTATAAGGTTTCTAGCAAAGCCATTTGCAAATTTCACATTGCTTGATAGATGCTTTTAAATCGTGCAGAACATTCCTCTCTTCTTTTGTGAGGTTAGAGTACTATGTCGGTTGGTATAACATGAACATGTCCATATCAATTTTTTAAAGTTTTTACACGGTAAGATTGCGCATTCCCACAGTATCACGTGACGAAAAACGTGGTTTCAAAAATCCGTTTGTTGTAATTACATCTGGTGCACGGCCCCTACAGTTTACATGCAGATTATAAAACAGTTCAATAAACCGGCCTGCAAAATCTCTGAAAGGCCATTGCCCACTTACCCCACCCCGCATGTATTCATTGTTTGAATTTTTTATGATTTCCAGTTCAGCAGTTACCATTGGAGATATAGTTGTCTTGACTGTAAAAACTTCCTTTGGAAATTCCCCAGTAAGGAGATTACATTAACCCCCGGGATTATGAATCATTCCGAATACTGTCAGTAGTTATCTTGGTTGTCATACGTAATATTAGGGAACTCTAGTAAGAGAAACCACCATATTAACTATCTATTTCATTGGACTGTACTTTGTCACAGAATAGTCTCTTATTACTATATCATAGACTGAGACAAATGGTACAGAGTACCATAATGTGGATCGCTAAGTAAGATGACAAGAGGGGGTAAAGAGCTTTCCACAAAACTGGAACATTTGTAATTATGTTGTAATTGTCTTTAATCACAAATGTTGTCTTGTCTTTGAAAGTAGCTGCGTAACACCAAACCAAATGATTCATAGACTGAGTAACAAGCTGCATGGCACCTTTCCATTGAGGTCAATCCACTGCCCTTGGGCGATCCAGGAGTCTTAATCGTGCAGATTGTAACGAGAATACCACCGTCCAGATATCTGTTTGTGTTTGTTGGATACTTTGCCCCAATGAGTATGAAACAGTCTGGAAAATTGATTAAATTTTGTGGTTTCCTTTGTTATAATGGAAGCCAGCGCCAATCTTTACTGAGATGGAAATTAGTTTTTGGGCCACAACCTCATTCTTCGAAAAGACATCGTATCTCACAAGTCATCAATACACCATGCTAATTTATACCAACCAAAAATGACGACAAGACAAGAAACTGCTAAAACAGCCAAATTTGAGTAAGAAGGTGTTTTTCAAGGGCTGTAACATGCTGTATGACCAAGAGCAGTAGGGCGGCCAACGTGGTCAGCCCCAAGTTCTCTTTGGTATTTACTTCCTTGCCTCTTGGACCAATGTAAGTACGTCCCTAAACAAGAAACAAGCAGCTTTTTATGCAGCCTTGCATCCCCGAAGCAGGAAACCATTATTCATGCCAGTTCTGCCACCTTCTTACACTTAAGCAGCCTTGCAACCTAAACCCCTTAACAATACCCAGCTGAAACCTGAATCTTAAAACAAATCCTATCTGTGAAGGGGGCATATCACGAATCGGGGGCAAAAAATTCTACGAGGCACAGTATGTAAAATTCAAGAGCGATATGATCCACGGTTAAGTTTAAGTATACATTTGGCGATTACTTTGGGGGTAACCCTCTAAGCTATCGCTCCCATGGCCCCTGAGGAAATGCACTTGTCAAGCTACCCTGGGTACCAGACTCACTATATTATATAGTGAGTTTGGTACCCAGGGTATTGTCAAGCCTGTTTTCCGGATATAAAATCATTTTCTTGTAAGAGACTGGCTATAAGAAACGAGCACTGGACAGTCAGAAAAAATAAAGAGACTTCGATAATCGAAGCAAAAGAATTAAGAAACTATTAAATCGTGATAAAACTGATAACAACGAAATTTTGCAAAATCCAAAAACATGCTTACCCTGTTGGCCTAAAACTTAAGATACAAGGTATAAAAACATACTTCCCACATCTTAATATAGCATCAGAACGGAAGCGAATCTCTTGATGTCATAAAAAAGGTCGCGAACATTTCATAACATCACTCATGACATCATAATTAAGAAACTCTTAAGAAACAACGAGTATTCAAATTTCCAGAACATTAAGAAACTGGAGTACTCAAAATCGACCTTTGTTTATTATAAAAAAATGAGTGTATCCCTAAATGTGGACAACATATATATCTAAATAAATATATTTAAAACAGATGTTGTTGCCAATAGCAACACTGTGTAAACCAACATCTTTCTCTATATCAAAATCGTTAGCATCGTTTTCGCTTCAAAGCAGGTTTTACTAATTAATATCCTTCTCGAAAGAACTTTAGTTTTCATGTACACTGAATAAACACATATATATACATATATATATATTTAACGTCACCCTATGCGTTGGTCATTTATTCCTTTTACAATTGCAATTATGAGTAAATATTTGCAAGTTCAAACATGCAAATTCAAATATGACACGACATGTGAAAAACTAGACCAATAAAAGATATAAACGCGATAATATAAAAAAATGAGCATGAAAAAAATTGTCAAGGCAGATCCGTCATGATCTGAGAGCACAGAAAATCTAGAGGCGCAGTGTTATCAAAACAACAAGGGGGCTCTTGCACAAAATATTACAAAAACAATCAGCCGGTATTCTCAGTAAATGTAGAAATTGGCTACTTTTCGGCACTAACAAGGGGGTACAGCCTCCTGAGCCCCCCGAGCACTAAACTCCCGGTAAAAACCACTACAATGTCCCTCATAAACTTGCTAATACCGAAACTCCAGAGAGCCATCTTTCTATTGACACTGCATTCATTTAAAAAACACGAATATGTAAATATAATAAGAAAACATTGAATGTAACGACTCACCCTTTCCTAACGATGGATCCTCTTGAGTGACATCATGGGTTTTAATATCAGAAAGCGGTTGCATTTATAAGAGAGCGGAGACGAGCAACCGAGAAAGGCGTTGTTTTTCCGGACCCACGCTTTCGAACGATCACTTATCGTCAGTTTCGGGTATGGTCAGTATCACTGAAAAACTAATTGTTATTCAAAGGAAAAAATTTGAACCGGGCATGGGAGTGAACCGCAGAAATCTAAACGATTCTCACCTGTGTTTGAACTCTCTGCTTTCAGGAAAATATTGAGTGTAAAAACTTCACACAAAACAAATATCAATCGCTTTGAAATTTGATTCTAAGCCATTGATAAAAACTCTGTCCTGCTGATTCATCTAACCGATCTTATTTCTAGCTCTAGACATTGATATCAGTTGTTTCAGTGACTTACTATCTAAATATAGTAACAGGCAGAGGGTGCGGGGCGGACCGCTCACGAATGAGTGGGCTGAGGTGCGAGGAATGTGAAAATGGACAAGTACTTTTAGCTTACATACCGAGTTGCAGAAACTCAGCCGGTATTTTCAGTCAGCCGGTATTTTCAGTCAGCCGGTATTCTCTGTCAGCCGGTATTCTCTGTCAGCCGGTATTTTCTGTCAGCCGGTATTTTCTGTCAGCCGGTATTTTCTGTCAGCCGGTATTCTCATGCCCAGGGTACAGAATTTTACCTCGGTATTCCAAGGTCCTCAGACATGGGAAACGTCAAAAATAGAAACGGACTATGCTAGTGCAAAGGAACAATGAGATGAAATAAACTCTTTTTCAGCGGATTTCGAATTAATATTTCGAAGTCTTTTTAACCATAGAAATCGATAGGAGACAGGCAAAATTGTTCTGGAACTTTGGGGAGAGCTTCCAGCAAAAAAGTGCAAGAGTCAACCCTGACAAAGCTGAATTTGATGATGAAGAAGAGGGTAGAAATATCATCCAAGTTTACCGTCCGTAGTCACAAACATAACAGTGGTTTACTATGGTCAAGATAAAATAAGGAACTTATTTTATCTTGCTATGGTATATAAACATTTCTTGCGTGGCCACTGAATAAGAAGAAAGGAATATGGTAATAAAACTCAAAACATCTTAAGAACAATATTTGTAAAGAAAGGAACGAATAGTGTAAACAAAGAAAGATTCAAAACACAGAACTGTGACAGATAGATCCAAACTACGTAATCGCGAAGCTTTGACGAACCACAAGATTTTGGGGGAGGAGGTATTGTGGAGGACACGTTTAGAAAACTCAACAGCTCAAAGTGCAAACAACCCATGGGAACAAATGCTATGGTGTCCATTCTCGAAGATAGGCCAGTGAAACTTTAGAATCATGTGTATCACAGAAGATAGCTCAAAATATTACAAGCCAATTTAGCGAAAGCAAACAAATTCTATAATGGATGCTGTGCGGATTAACCCGAAGTTTGACAAGAGTATATACATTTGGTTTTTGAAATACGACCCTTACTCGCTCCCTCTCAAATGAAACTGCGGGCACTGCTTCACGATGGAAGAGTATTATGGTGGCTGTATGCCAGCTGGTGTACTGTAGCTTGTCGTCAAACAGAGGCAGGCGACCCTTGTGTTAGAAACAATGGTGTTTGCCACTATCAATTTTTATCCTTGTTGATAAATCTACCATTGGAATTCTACTTCTTCTAGAGTGCCGTGCACGATGCGGGCCTGGACGATCCAAAAACTTTTCAAAACCCCTACAAGGTAATCCCATATTGGAGAGAAAGAGAGGGGGGTTCCAGGATGAGGAGAAAGAAAACTGTGTAAATGGCGCGATTACAACTTACAGCCACTTATTTTGAAAAATTTTTCAAATTCTTTTATAAAAAATTTTAGACCTCAGATACGGATTGAGGTCAAAATTTTGTCTACTTGGAAAGTTTTCTTTATGGTATTGCTCACGATATTGATTTTATGAAGACATAGAGATAAAAATAAGTGAATTTACTGTGATTGGCGACTAAGGGGATAAAGTTTCACCCAGAACGATTTTTGCGGTCAAATCTCTTACCAGTTTCCAAACTTCATTTCTCCGCAAAATCTAAAATACAAGCACAAACCATATAAAAATGCAAACTTTATTGCATCCTGCTTAAAATCATGGCGATAAAACAAAATCTGCGCTTAAAAAAGTCGTAAAATGAAATTAGGGGAAATTTCCAAAACGAGGCCGTAAGTTAAAAGTGGAGACAGCATTCAATTAGGGCCTATTCATTATGTGAATCCCATCTCTCTTGCGAAACTATAATTGATGCATGGAATGTTGATGTGAAGATTTTGGTTAACAGTAAGCTAAAAACATCGACAGGAGCAACCAGGATGACTGGGAGGGATATACAAAGATACACAATACGAGATTGATGTAAATGAGGGTGACAAAAGCAACAGCTGAGGGCCAAAGTCCCGTCAAACCTGATCAAATATTCGCCCATTGTTTGTTAATCCCCTTATAAAAATCCTATCCAGGAAGTGGGCCTGCGAGTGCACCAGCCCTTGACTGCCTGGAGAATACTTCTCTTTAAGGTCGGTGGCAACAATGGGAAACTGTTTCCCGGCTGATGCACCTGCCCGCAAGACGACTGTCTCCGGGGGAAAGCTGGAAAGCAGAAATTGGAAAGGAAAAAAATTAGTCAAGATAGAAAGAAAAAAGAGAGGAGTGGGTGGGTGGGGAAGCTTGTAAAAAGTATCTATCTGTCTCGTTCTGCTTGCAAAATGAGAGTGCACTAGCTATCGTGCTATGCGGGCGTACCATCACCACATGGAGAAATTAAGGGAACGGAAGAACTATTGTTAACAGGACAATAGGTAATCAAGTCACGTGTGGTATTTTTTTCTAGTGGATTAACTCTGTTTAAACAAGTCTAAACAACATTTAATCCCCTTATAAAAATCCTATCCAGGAAGTGGGCCTGCGAGTGCACCAGCCCTTGACTGCCTGGAGAATACTTCTCTTTAAGGTCGGTGGCAACAATGGGAAACTGTTTCCCGCCCACAAAACACCAAGTGTTGCCTCCAGACACCGACTCCTAATAAACCCTTTCTGCACTAAGGAGGGAAAAGGGAAGGGAGCCAAATCTTTTAACCCCAGATCAGAGCATGGGAGGGCGCGTCACCTATTTGCCGAATAATCCGAATGTAAGGCTATTTGCCGAATAATCCGAATGCCTGAGGGAAATCTATCTGCATCTAAAATATAGCAAATTGGGTTGGGCTACTAGACCTATACCTAGCAAATGGGAAATGACAAATGAGACGCATGCGTAATATGAAATTTGCCATTGAAGTAGATAAGTCGTCGGAGATATTGGGATCTCCGTCCCCCCATATATCACTGCTGGTGTAGACCCTGCCCCAGATGGTGCTATTTACCTAGTGGATATACTACTAGAGGGAGAGGAGGGTGAGGGGGATTACATGGAGAGGCGGGTGATGCCGGAAAAAGGTAAGCGGGTAAAGGATAGTGAGGGCAGAAAAACACTCTTCCTGTGAAGCCAGAGATAATCTGGTTCAAGCAGGTTCGTGATAAACAATCATGCCAAATTTCAGGCAAATAAAAACACTCACCCCGTTGAGAGCCAGGACCACCCTGGATCAAGCAGGTACATGAGCAACAACCAGCCAACCTTGTGGCGAATAACCATCACTCACACTACGAAAAGCCAGGAATAACCTGGCCCAAGTAGGTTTGTGATAAATAAATGTGCCAAATTTTAGGCAAATAAAAACACTCACCCCGTTGAGAGCCAGGACCACCCTGGATCAAGCAGGTACATGAGCACATAGCAAGCCAGCATTGTGGCGAATAACCATCACTCACACCACGAAAAGCCAGGAATAATCTGGCCCAAGTGGGTTTGTGATAAATAAATGTGCCAAATTTTAGGCAAATAAAAACACTCACCCCGTTGAGAGCCAGGACCACCCTGGATCAAGCAGGTACATGAGCACATAGCAAGCCAGCATTGTGGCGAATAACCATCACTCACACCACGGAAAGCCAGGAATAATCTGGCCCAAGTGGGTTTGTGATAAATAAATGTGCCAAGATTTAGGCAAATATAAACACTCTCCCCGTTGAGAGCCAGGACCACCCTGGATCAAGTAGGTACATGAGCACATAGCAAGCCAGCATTGTGGCGAATAACCATCACTCACACCACGGAAAGCCAGGAATAACCTGGCCCAAGTGGGTTTGTGATAAATAAATGTGCCAAATTTTAGGCAAATATAAACACTAACCCCGTTGAGAGCCAGGACCACCCTGGTCAAGCAGGTACAAGAGCATATAACAAGCCAGCATTGTAGTGAAAAAACACTCCTGCCACGCCCCAATGGGTTTGTGATAAATAAAATGCCAACTTTGTGGAAAAAATAAAACATTCATCCCTGATCACGAACCAGGACTAACCTAGCTTTTATTGAGTTGAATTCATTAACATGCCCACGTTGTGGTAAACACAAACAGTCCCTCATCCAAAAATAGAACCAGGACTAACCTGATTCAAGGTTTGTAATCACTAACATGCCAGCATCATGGCAAATATAAATGATTTTCCCAACTGTAGTCAGGTGTCCCTAGTCAAAAACACGTTTTTGAATTGAAAGTGAAACATTTTCCAAGTGTCCCTGGTCAAAAACACGTTTTCCCAATTGATAGTAAAAACATTCTCTCTTCTGAAGCCAGAACTACCTGGTCCAAAACAAGTTAGCAATTATAGTGAAAACATTCTCCCTGTTGAAGCCAGGACTAACCTGGTCAAAAACAGGTTTGCAATTTATAGTGAAAACATTCTCCCTGTTGAACCCAGGCTCAACCTGGTCCAAATAGGGTCGCAATTTATATTAAAAACCTTCTCCCTGTTGAACCCAGGTTGAACCTGGTCCAAACAAGTTCCCAATATATAGTAGAACATTCTCCCTGCTGAAGCCAAGACTCACCTGGTCCAAACAGGTTCGCAATTTATGGAAAAAACATTCTCCCTGTTGAACCAAGGTTTAACCTGGTCCAAACAGGTTCGCAATTTTATAGCAAAACATTCTCCCTGCTGAAGCCAGGAATACCTGGTCCAAACAGATTTGCCCTGAATAGGAAAAAAAAATGTCCTCCCGGCTGCAGCCAGGAACAACCTTATTCAACCCTTTTTCTATAAAACTGGGATGTCGCCTCATTGTAAAAAACTAATCTTAAGTCCGAACGATTTGTAAAAGCTTGCTTAGATAATGAAAATCAGCTGGGCAGTGAAAAATGAAAGACAATGCCAATCAGCTACCCAGTACAAACGAAAGAGAGCAATTGCAAATATATTTCCTGTCAATGACAAAAAGATTGTAATTTTGGTCCAAAAACAGGCTTGCCATTAATAGTAAACATTCCCCCGCTGAAGCCAGGCCTGACCTGGTCCACAACCCAAATAATAGTAAAACATTCACCCCGCTGAAGCCAGGAATACCTGGTCCAAAAAACAGGTTTGCAATGAAAAGGAAAAATATCCTCCCTGCTGAAAAAGGGGGGAGGGTCCAGGTATTTTGGCGTGATTGTGCAATCAACGTATTTCCGACGCATGAATTTGCGAAACAAAATCCAATCATGCGTAAATGCGCGGGTCGATATTGGAGCGTGACCTGTGAAACAGCACCACTCATGGCGCGACCGCGTGAAAATGAACCTGCAAGCGAATTCCAAAATGGAGCGCTTTCGTTTTTACATGCAGAAAGTCTTGATTTCCGGTACCAGACCAGGTAAATGTCTCAATTATTCAGAGATTCCAATGCTCCGCCAACAACAAATAACTACTCTATTAGACTGGTGTAACGATTTACACAACCTGCTTAGACAATGCAAATCAGCTACCCAATATAAATGAAAGAATGGAATTACAAATATAGTTCCTGAAAGTTGCCAATTTGGCCCTAGTATATACCATATTTGTTATCTGTGGCATATTTTGAAAGCGCATAGCATATAAAGCCGGATTTTTTTTTTTGATTTATTTTCTAAATTTGGCATAATTTTGACATGTTTGGAATAATAAGGAATACCATGCCTTGCCACCTTACCAACAATCTTGGTGAAGAAAAACACATTGTCCTTCTTTACAAAAAGACGGGTATTGGAAATTTATTTTTTTTTCATTTCTTTACACAGCTTGAATAATTATTTCCATGTGACAGTAATTGATGATACCCGATTTAACATTAAACACAGACCCCACAATAACCTCTACCATCCAACCAAAATGGATTGAAGGTAATGCTGACATGCCTGTCACTGATGAATGACCGTTTTCCTACTATTTGATAAATGTTTAACGCAATAAATAGAAGAACAGCACTTTTATGGTATTGAGTTTCAAGTGGGAACGACAAATGTCTCCTAAATAACCTTCAGCAGCTACACCTAGCGGGGCGTTTTTGTTTTGTTTTGTATTATTTAAACCATGCAATTTGGCCAGTTTCTAGATATGTAATTGGCAACTGGGATTACAATGACATAAAAGACCCTATTAAATTAGTGTGTAAGTGAGCCATCACCCTTGCTTAGGCAAAGCAAAATGCAACCAACCTGACACTTTGCCACAAGAAAAAAAAAATAACACGGCAATAAGCCAGTGCGATTTGTACAATATATTGCTAGCGAATAGCAAAGTTTTAATGTGTCCATATAAAAGGACTGCCTATACCCAACTTGCCAAGTAACATCAAAATAAAGGCTTGCGATTGGTCAGTATGCCTGCAACACAAAACTGCTCACATGAGAAGCTAACCTCGCAGCAGGGTAGATAAACAGAACGACCATAATAGCTGGGCGATGACGTGAAAAATCACATGCTTCCGAAAAACCCCCGCAGAGTCGCTTGCTTGGACACATTACCTTACTGGGATTACCATGACAATTGTTGTCAATAGCACATAAAGAAAAACAAAAACAATTTATCCAACAAGCATGTGTAATAAGATTGCAGAAAAAAAAGGCATGACACTTTAAGATCCACTTAGGCAACGATGCATCTTAAATTCTGTTTTAATAGCCAAATCATTTAATTCCATTAGTGTATGGAGGCAATAACTGTACTTTCGCAGGCAAAGCAAAAAATGAAACCAAAATGACACTTGAAAAAATCTGCTAAGGTAGTGCGAAGGCAACTACAAAGACTTTTTTCATTGGCGCTAAACCCAAAACAAATTCTTCGGTTATCAGTGTATACAGACAGTAACAATCATTGCTTAGGCAAAGCCAAAGGTGTTACAGATGATACTGTTGAACAAATGAAAACGCGACAAATGAAAATGACTGTAGGTACCAAGACACCTCTTGTAAAAGCAAACAAATCAATCAAATAAATGTGATCCGAAAGTAGCAATGAGCAAGATTCAGGTAACGATTACCCCTTAAAAATGACGTTTGTGAAAATATTTTCTTTGTTTTGTTTGTTTTTGTTTTTAGTTTTTTACAATTTAGTTTTGCCGAACCCTAGTGAAAGGGGGTGTTGTTTAGGAAGTGGGTTGCCTAAAATGGCAGGTTAAAGAGCAAAACATGACTGAGGGGCCCCACCGCATGCATGCAAACTACTATTTCCAAAAGGCCTGTCCGCAAGCTAAGCGAAACGAGGGATAGTGGCAAGGGTCGAGGAACCAGTCTTAGGTTGTATAGTTACGCCTACTGACATGTATGACGATGACTAAAAAGATGATAATCGAAGCAGGGAGCTCTTGCTTGTTCTGTACACCCAGGCTGCTTATTTAACGCTTCGAAAGCAAAAACGAAGTCGTTCTATGGCCTAATGGCGGGACACCAAATCACCGGAGCGCCCATTAACGGAAGGTCAAGGCTGATGACCCCGGACCTTTTAAGCTAGGTTAACAGAGGAACACTTTCGTCCAAGCCAGTACCATTACTTCATAATCAGGAAATGTCTTTCAAGAAATAAGTGGTTACAGAAAATTCGAAAAATAGGGAGCAAACATCAAAATGCACACTGTCAAGAGAAGAAATAAAGAACGCTCTCACCAAGGCTTATTGTGGTCGTAAAAAACATGAGCAAATACACTTCCACGTAACGCCTCGGTCTTGGGTGATGCCTCCAGAGAAGAATCCAAAAGCTTGTAAAGCGTATCTATCTGTCTCGTTCTGCTTGCAGAATGAGAGTGCACTAGCTATCGTGCTATGTGGGCGTACCATAACCACATGGAGAAATTAAGGGAACGGAAGAACTATTGTAACAGGACAATAGGTAATCAAGTCACGTGTGGTATTTTTTTTTCTAGTGGATTAACTCTGTTTAAACAAGTCTAAACAACATTTATGGGCATGACTAAATTGGAACCCCTCTGTTTTAGTCATGCCCGACAATAGAAGAGCGCCTTCGGAGGGCTCCATATTCTTGCGTGGAACCATAGGGCTCCAAAGGCGAATGGCCTGAGCTATTTCATCAGGAGAATAGGACTTTATTCTTACGAAAATATAATTTTTTGAAAAATGTTATCTCTGGAAATAGATGGTCATGCCTGGCATGACAAGCATGACCGCTAGCTACGCCACTGTATGTGGGACAAATCCTCAGCAACAGATTACTTGCACCGTCTTTTGCCATTATGGCACTCTCTATCTCATCATCCATCTTCTTTGTGATATTTATTGGCATTGAAAGGCTGATCGCGATTAAACTGCCAATACGGCATCGAATGTGGCATGCAAAAAGAAGTACCATTTTCAAATGGGCGGCACTTGCTTGGGTGTTTACAGTTATCATGACAGCAGTGTCGCTAACTGCCGACCAGATGATCCAGAAAGACAAGCAGGGCTTCTTTATCTCCGTTGGCTCGCGGAACCTCGCCTTGTTCATTGCAAGCTACATGACACTTGGAAGCATAATAGTTTTGGTAATCTACTGTTGGATAACGTATCTTGTGTTAAAAAGACGTTCGAAATTCCTTGCATTTGACAAAACCGACCTTGAAAGAGACAAAAATATGGTCGTTGCCTTGCAAAAAGAGAAGGCAACTATCATTGTTTGTGCTTTGGTTGTCGCTACATTTCTTGCATGCAACGTTCCAATTATCGTTGGCTTTTACAAGAATGAGCTCAATGCAGTAGAAGCTAACCTAGTCAACTTTAGCTCGGTTGTCAACCCTCTTGTGTACTTCTTTAAAGGTTACATCGAAGATTATTTCAGCAAGGCAAAACTGGAGATAACCTCTCAACCAAAGAAAACAGCAAATGTGGAAAAGATCACATCCTTCTCTAATGTTGGTTGTGATGACGCCAAGAGGCAGAATATCA